ATAATGTCCTGAAAGATTTTTCTCATTGAGAAGCCAGCAGTTTTGACCATTATCCTGAGAAAAAGGATGACAAAAATTGATATATGAGGAACAAGTGAATAAGAGGCAGGACACTCTTGGACAGACAGCAGTTTTATTTCTATACTGGTGAGAGTGTGTATAATATACTATATAAATTTTTTTCACAGTTACAAATATGAAAATATATTAAGCAAATACATAATTTAAATAGACTCAGGAAGTTCTTTGCTCAATTAGAGGGGGTTAAAAACATAATATTGTAGGTAGATGCTGCAGTACGCAAAAAACGGAATCAGCTACTGCCATCTTAACCAGGTACGCTGAGAAAGAACGTATGACTTTAAAAATATAAAAGTGCTCTATTATAGAACATAATAAGTTCAGTCGCTAGATTTATTTACATTATATATTGATGCTTCATACAAATCAAGGAACAGAGGCTGATGAACTTCCACAGACGTAAGAATTGTTCCACGGACACTGTCTACTATCCGAAGTGTCAGGGCAGGAGCAACTTCCAAAGAAAAGCATATGTGCGCTGTTGACGAGCTGTGAATTACTTTGTACAAGGTAGAAGTAGACAGCAGATTAAAGCCTTGATCTTTGTCTTTGAAGAATGTATAGGCCTGGCCGGTCTCTCGTGGAAGACCAGGGATCAAATACTGCTCAAGTGAAAGCGCTGGTCACGACTCCTGTCAGCATGGGTGAGAGTGGGACATTCCAGGGACCCGGAGGCAGACCCTCAGCTGACTTGTGCATGGTCGTGGTGCAGCGCTGCTGGATTCCTAAAGCCACCATTGCACATGTTTCTTTCTTGATGGGATGTTTATTTACACACGGTAACTGAAACACAATATCCAACCATAACTTAAAGCTTCCTGTTAGGGTGAGGATGGTATTTCTTGAAAGAAATTACTTGAGGCAGAAACCAGCCCTAACTAACTCGACTTGTGACTGTTCCAGCAGGGACACATTGCATTTGTCTGACATATTCACAGTTTCAAATAACTTATTTTGGTGTCTTATATAAGATCATGTGCATTGGCATCTACGTTATAAAAATAATTTTTGGTAAATCTTTTGATGTCTCTTACTTCCATTACATAAACTTCTATTTTAGGAGCATTAATCAACAATTTTCTTGTTTAATGAACATGTATGAATAGACAACCTTTAAATAAATAAAATACATACATTTATTCCAAGGGAGTCTCCCTACAAGTTAAGAGTATTCTTTTAGCCAGAAATATTTTCATTGCTAGAAGCATTTTTAGAACAGAACAGATTTTTACTGCCATCATTCCTGCATCAAATGTTACCTTGCGTTTTAGCTAAAATGGCCAAATATTTTCGGAGTCATCATGCACCGAAAGAATCTATGGCAGTGTGTCTGGAATGCCAGACTCAGTGTATATAGTCAAACACCTGTTTGTTGACAAGACTGGAGGAATCAATTCAATTGTTTAATCGGCAAAATCTTCCAGTCAACATAATCAAAGTGAGTATCTAAAAAGGAAAACACAGGTTGAATGTCCCTCATTTGAAATGCTTGGGAATACAAGTTTTTTTTTTTTTTAGGTTTTTGTGTGTTTTTGTAATTTGGAATATATACATGAACATAGATAAATATGAATATATATGTACACATATATTCATATTCATTGGAATAGGGCCCAAGTCTAACCATGAAATTTATTTATGTTTCATGTACACCTTTCACAAACAGTTGATGATAATTTTGTGTAACAGTTGTAATGCACCTGCATTTTAACTATGACATGTCACAGAAGGTCAATTGTAGAATTTTCTGCTATGACATCATGTTGGTGCTTTAAAAACATTAGATTTTGGAGTGTTTCAAATTTCAGATTTTTGGATTAGGGATGTTCAACCTGTATTTTCTCATAGAAACATATGAGAAAAACTTTTAAACAATGGAGCCACACAGAAAAATGATGTTTTTATCTCCCTGGTGATATCTGGTTCGAGTGTTTTTTCCCAACATTTTCTCGTCTTTGTATCATTTTACTTGCCTTCTATAAATCTCATGATTTACAGAGTTGCCTTTGATATGAAACATTCTTTGAATACCTGGTATGATTCTAAGTCTCAGGCTGAAGATTCTCAGAAAATTAATAGGGCATTTGGGCAGATATGGCATATCTTACTTTGATTCTTCAGGAATCAGGTAGGACTGAGAACTTGTTCCCTGCCACTCAGAGAAGGACTGCTCATTCCTTCTTGCCTCTTTGTCTTGGTTGGTTAAATATTCTCATTTCTTAATGAAATGAAACCTGAAAAGCCCCTGCCCTGCTAAACAAACACCTCATGACCTATTCGCTGTTTCTTGCTTAGGTTGGCTCTGGTCCATGTGTGTGGGCTAAACCCTAGACCTGGGGCTCTGATGCTACCAGACAGATCTTATAGCTTTCGGATTTTCAAGACTCCAACCTCAAAGAATTCCCAGAAAGTGAAGAAAATGAGAATTATGAAGGAGATAATTTTACAGCAAAGAATAAGAATGTTTAGTATGAGAAGCTGGATCGTTAGATACCAAGGCAAGAGAATCAGAGTGTGAAGTATAACATGTGGGCTCTATTTTTGTATTGCTGGACATCTGCTGAATGGCTTCCTATTATTTTTCATGTCTTTTGGGCTTTTTTTAAAGAGCTAATAACAGAATTAATTAAAGACTATCCCAAATAAAACTGATCTCACATTGTATGTGCTGGCTCTTTTAGCATTTTATTTTATTTATTTATTTATTTATTTATTTATTTTTGGAGGAAGCGGGGATTGAACTCAGGCCCTTGTTCTTGCCAGGGAAGCACTTATTCTACTGAGCCATCTACCCGGCCCCTACTCTAGCATTTTAAAATGACATTATGCTCATCTCTTCTGTAACGTGGAGTCTATGAAATTATACCAGTGGAGATAAGGCAGACAGATGTGATCATGTTCAATTGGCAAGGCAAGCACACTCAGCAGGAAGGGGGGTAAACAGTGAAACAGTGGGCATTAGAGATGTTGGGGGGAGGGAAATTACTTGGGACGAACACAGGCAAGCCGAGGCAGGGAGGAGACTCTTTGAAAAACCTGATGCAAGAGAAAAAAAAAAAAAAAAAAAAAGAAGAAGAAGAAGAAAGAAAAAAAAAATTGGCTGCTTTCCAGAGAACGATGGAATGATAATGCACGATTGCTTTAATAAGAAGAGATTAAAGGAGTTAATAATAAGGACCCTGGATAAATAATTATTGAGATTCAAGACAGAACGCTCCCAAGATGTGATAGCTCAAAAGCCCTTTGAAGCCTTGATGATTAAAGTGTGCCACACAGGTGCACAGACAGGGGGCCCCCCACAGGAAATGGAGTGCTCCCCGAGACCCAGCCACCCGAGGCAATTAAATGGAAATGCAGCCAATTGAGAGGAATGTCAAGGAGACCTTTTTCTTGTCTCCCAAATTTAATAAATAGATCAACTAGGTTATGTATTCAGTCTTCCTGGGAACAAGAAGGATAGCGTAATATTTGTTGCTAAGGAGATTTAAAATTAGCCATGGAGTAGGAATCAATATATCTCGGGTTAGACTCAAAGAATGTAAAATTATCCTCTGCCGCGTTTATTTCTGTACTTCTCACTCCGCCTTAGATGTTGCCGGAGCATGTGTATGTTATTTACTGTTACAGATATGTAGGTTCTCGTAGTTATGATTCCTGGTTTGTTTATCACCCTCTCTTCTGGATCCAGGGGTCTGCACCTAGAGCAGCCTCAGCATTCCAGTTACCAGCAACCTGTGGAAGGAGACTGATGTCCTAGGCTGGCTTGTTTGCCTCAATCCCTCATCTGGACTCACTTTTAAGTTGAATTGGAAACAATAACAAAAGCCTAACTTTATTGTCTTCTTACGTGGAGAGAAACATGTAGGTTCCAGGGCAGTGCCTCCCAGCTTATAGGCACTTGCTAAAGTTCCCTGGGTGAGTGACTAGTCAAAAATGAATACTAGCTTTCCAGGTATCCATGAGCGTTACACTGAGCAATATTAATTAGTTCAGCTTGTTTTGTTTTTCCTCTTGCTTTTCTTTTTAGGTGTAGGAAGAATGATCCCCAATAGATAGCACAGTAGATAGCATAGCTTATAAATCTTGGACCTGTGTCCTTCCCTGGTTGCCTGTCTGCCACACTGAAAGTTATGTTGTTTCTCTTTCTTTCTAGGATACATTCGTAGCCCTCGAGATTCACAGTCGAAGCCCACACAGTCATTTCACAAAGGCAGAGTAGGCAGTGAAAAGCTACAAGAACTCTGAATCCTTTTATTACTTGTCAATCCTTATGAAGTGTCCCTCTATTTTTATAAGCTTCTAATAATACCAGGGGGTCTTCTAGATTGTATGTAAAATAAGTAGAAATTGTTATTTATATTGTTTCCGGATTATTGCCCAAGTGTATACATTTTATTACTTCTAGCACTTTGTAACAGGAAGCAAAAACACATTCTTTGAAGATAAATACATTCTTCCTGCACATGAAGCTGTAGGATTGACAAATATGACCCCTAGTTAAAGCCTAGTGTCTCTAGATTATTTTCTTAGGTAGCCAGGAGGGTTTCAGATGCTGTTCAAATTTTTCCTAGGAAGGCTCTAGTAACTGCACCTTGATGAGGGCAATGACCACTTTTTCACTCATGAATTTTGTCATTGAGTCAAAATAAGGCATACATACTGAAGATGACCTTGTAAGTGTATGTAGGAATGTTTTACATTAAATGCAACTTTAGATGATTGCTTGACATTTTGGCTCTCATGAACTTATTAAAAATGTCTCCTGTAAAATTTTATCCTAAGACAACCTTTTCGTTTTTACTATGGTTGTTTTTTAGTTCAGCTGTATATGATATTTATAGATGTTTTTATGAAACTGTTGGTATTCAGTCCTTTGATCAGGAATATAATCTGCCACCTTAATCTTTCTTTAATGGAAAAACCATTTGTGACTTTTCTAGAAATACTGACCACTGAAAATGAGACCAGAAACCATGGATATGAATGTTCATGTTCTATACTGTAAATACAGCAAAATAATCCTCAATCACTGCGGTTAGTATTCTACTGAACATGAGGACTCCTGTGCTTCTGTTTGGATCCTCACCTGTCAACACCTCAACCCTGCTGCCTGGGCCTGCACAGCAAGTTACACGGCCCCTGAGATGATCGTTTGGCCTGATTCCCTGACAGCAAGAGGAGACTAGCTTTGGCACAAGATCCGGCTCAGCTTTGGTGCTGTGTGATCCTAATCTAATTTTCTTTCTTTCCTTTTTCATTATTATTATTATTATTATTCTGTGTGTGTGTGTGTGTGTGTGTGTGTGTGTGTGTGTGTGCGTACACATGCACTGGGACTTGACCCTAGTGCCTGTACGTACTAAGCATACAGTCTATCACTAAGGTTCCCCAGCCCTAATCTCTCTCTCTCTCTCTCTCTCTCTCTCTCCCCCTCTCTCTGCTATTGTAGCTACATTTGTCCTAATAGCATCTGGGTCATTGTTGGATCTCAAGGGTCACTGTTGAATCTCAAGATTCACAGGCTACAAGTACAGCAGAGCCGGGCGCCCTGTATACGCTCTCCAGTCTGGCTCTGCATCTTGACCAGTCAGTCTTTCGACAGCTAAAAACAGCCCAAGGGCTCGTCTCTGCCGCCACCTCTGAAACCTTTCACTCACAGTCCTGTCACACAGGTTGCTTTAGCTTATGTAGAACAAGCCATAAACACTTTAGTGTGGAAAAATAGTACTCTATATAGCTTCATATTAAACATTATGAAAAATACATATTTACAGGAGGAACTATAAAATATAACTATGTACAACAATATCAATATCTGTTACCTTTAAATTACATAAATTCTTTAACATTCTCCAGATTAATAAATTATACATAGTATCAACAGAAATAGCTGGCACCTCTGTAGGGCATGAAGGAAGGTTTTTTTTTTTTTTTGTTCTGTTTTGTTTTGTTTTTAATCACATAGTCAAAAATCTGTATCCAGGAGATCTTCGGGTACAATCTTAACGTCTTGAATAGACCGCGTCTGAAAGGAAGGACAGCATAATGAGAGACTATTGTCAGGCAGATCACAATTGCTCTGTTTATGAAAATTACAAGTGAGAGAGACTAAGGAAAATGACTACAGCTGAGTACGTTTTAGGACGAGACTGTTTCTGTGGGATTAGGCCATTGCATTTAGAAACACTGACTGCCAGACTGGAAGGGACCAGCACCACTAGTTCGTCTTTTCTGCCTTTATGAATGAAGCCAGGGGCCTAGAGAGACAGGGGAACTCACTCAGGGGTAATTATAATAATAGTCATACTTCACAGTTGTGGAGCTGAGATCTGAATTCTAGCCCTCAGATGATGGCTATCTTTTTCTTTCCAATAGTTGGTTTCTTTCAGGCTCTGTCAAGGTTACTCTAAAAAAAGACTCTAAAGGCAAAACAAAACAAAAGCACTTCTAAGCTCCCCCAGAGCTCCCTGCATCCTGGAGTTTCTAAAGAATATGACATGTGAAAACCTTAATTTACTATACAGATAAATTAGGGGGTAATTATTTATAATACAAAAGGATTATCTGATCTACAAAGGACTCCTCTAAATAGTAGCTTTTTATTTATGCCTTACAGATTATTAACTCTTTAATTACTGGTTAGACTGGTCAGGTAGAGAGTGTTCAGAAAACTAAAACTGTTAGGAAACATTACCAATTGAGGGTCTCTTGGAAATGGAGATAAGATAGATCTGAAATACCCTTCTTCAGTGAAACACTGATTTATAAGTAGAGATGCCTTCCAGGCACAAGGCACAGAGGCCTCTGGTGGGCAGCAGCAGCCTGTGTGACAACGACAGCCCAAACCAGGAAGAGGCACCCAAATCTTCTTTGGTCAATTAATTATGACTTGATCAAAGCAGTGCTTTCAAAGGTTTGTACTTTTTTTTCTATAAAATTTTATATTTGGACAATGTTATCTGCTTGTTCTACAAATATGCTTACAATAGAAGAAACAAATCACATGTTTTTCTATTTAGAGAAATTTATTCTACCATTATATTTTCTCCCTGCTTTTTTTTCCCTCCTATGCATTGTTTTTGTTTTATATTCTGCCCTTTCTTTCTTTCTTTCTTTTTTTCTTTCTTTCTTTCTCTTTCTTTTCTTTTCTTTCCTTTCCTTTCCTTTGCTTTCCTTTCCTTTCCTTTCCTTTTCTTGTGTTTGTCTTTTGAGGCAGGATTTCACCATGTAGTTTAGACTGGACTTGAACTCACTTTGTAGCCCAGGCTGGCCTCAAACTCACAATGACTCTCTTGCCTCAGGCTCCAGAGTGCTGAGATTACAGGTATATACTCAGCTCATTCTGCTTTTCTTACCTATACTATGCTTCCAGTATGGTTTGTCACCCAAAGACAGCTGTGTTGGAAGCCCAGTCCCCAGTGTATAGAACTGAGGTGATAGGCTGTTAAGAAGTGGGTCCCAGTGGAAAGTGTTTCAGAGATGCCTTCTAGGGACAAGGCATTGAGGCCTCTGGTAGGCAGCAACAGCCTGTGTGACAATGATGGCCCAAAGAAGGAAGGGGATAAAGATTTTCTTTTGTCAATTAACTATGGCTTGTGAAGGACTTACTGCTGGCCCTCCAGAGTGGTTAGGTTCTATGGACTGCACTGGTCCTGTAAGGTTAGGACCATTATCAGGGAGCACACCCAGCTCCTCCAAGCCTGCGTCCTCTCTTCTCACGCCATCTCGCCCACTGTCACGCATGGTCCTACTCTGTGGTGCTGTCCTCGTGCTGTGATTCAGCCATGAGGGCCTGCATATGCTGGACAGCTGGGATCTGCATGCTCTGGGACTTCCGACCTTTAAACCTGTGAGCTAAAGATCAGTCTTCTTTTCTCTTTTCCTTTTCTGTTTCTTTCTTGGTGGAGATTCATCTTAATTGTGTGAACTTGATTGGCTTGGAGCTGCCTAGGGGTTTAGCAAAGCCATCTTGGAGAGTGATGTCTGTGTAGCTCACAGAGCTGTGGCCCTGGGGCTGTGTCCAGCCCCTCACCTCTGTCTTTCTGGCACTGTTTCCCTGCTTCACTGCTCGGCTGCCAGGGACTAAGGGACTTTGCCCCAGCTCAGCCCTCTGCCATGCTGCTCCTATCTCAGCCTGGCTGACCAGCAGGTGAATACCCTTGATTGTGAGACAAATTAAGTCTCATCCTTTTAACTCATGGGTGTTGAGTATTGTGCCCCAGTGAAAGCCAACCCATACACTCTTCTGTCATGTGCATGTGCGTGTGCGTGTGTGTGTATGCCTGTGTGTGTGTGTGTGGTTCTGGGAA